AGAACCCACCTACCTTCTCCATCATCACTCCTCCCGTCTGTCACCCATTCTTCTCCCCATTACAAGCCATCTCCATTTTGCCCTCTGCTTTAGCACCTCTGCCCATCCTTGCTAGATTCTTAACCTTAACTGTGGCTTCTGCCATCTCCTAGAAATCTGACAGACATCTACCTGCTGCGTTCCTACATCCATCTGCGCTATGTGGATGTTTCTGAGAACCACCTGACCGACTTGTCCCCACTCAATTACCTCACTCACCTGCTCTGTCTCAAGGCTGATGGCAACCGGCTATGGAGTGCCCAGCTGAATGAACTACCCTACCTGCAGATTGCCAGTTTTGCCTATAACCAGATCACTGACACTGAGGGCATCTCTCATCCTCGTCTGGGCAGCTTGAATCTCAAAGGTGGGTCCTTAGGCTGGGCTACACAAGATTTTTTTCCTTCCTAGCCTGGGCCAACAGAAGTGGGCAGTGTGGTTCCTAGCTGTGCCACACAGCAGTTGGTATTCATTCATTCATTTAAATATTATGATTTGTTATGGCAGTTCTATGTGCTGCTGATATAACAGTGAACAAAGAAAAGTCCCTATTCTCATGTAGCTTACATTCTAGATGGGGGAGACAGACAATGAACACAATAAACACAATAAATAAGTACATTTACACAGTAAGTTAAAAGGAGATATGTGTTATGGAAAAATAGATTAGGGGAAAAGGAATGATGGGGGGATACAGGCGGCAATTTCAAACAGGTTGACTAGGACAAGCATCACTGAGAAACTGACATTTGAGCAGACTTAAGGGAGGAGAGAAAGTTAGCCATGTGGATTGCTGCTGGGTGGACAAGTCCTTCAGACTCTGGACTATGAGACCACTTGCCCCAGGGCCCCAGAGGGGACTTGTCCCTCCTCATATTCACCTTGCATTAGAGGGAGAGGGTGATGCAGAGGCTTCCAAAATCCAGGCTCTACTGCAGAACATTCGGAGTGGTCCTTTGAGCTCTTGACACCTTCCTGCTCCTCAGGGAACCACATCCGCATGGTGACAGGTCTGGACCCTCAAAAGCTGATCAGCCTTCACACACTGGAGCTTCGGGCAAACAAACTGGAAAGCACCCTGGGAATCGACCTTCCTAAGCTGAAGAACCTCTTCCTGGTAGCTCACTGGGTTAGAGGGTGGTTGGTGAAGGGAAGAGGGCATTTTCCTGGGGGCCAGGACATCTGGCTTCTAGTAGGCTCAGCTACTAACTTCATCATCAGAATGATAATTGGTGTCCTTCATTGAGCCCTCACTTGATGCCAGATGCTATGGTGATGCTAAGTTAAAACAGACAAGGCGCTGACTACCTAGCAGGGCTGATAACACGTAATGAGTGGGTAATACAGAGATAGTTGGCTTGATACAGGTAGCAGTAATGTGCCATAACTGAGGTACAGGCACGGGGCTAAGGAAGCCACTTAAATGGTTAGTCATTTAGATTCTTGAGCTTCCTCATTCCAGGATGGTGCTGAAGTCATTTCTCCTCAGTGGAGCAGTGGGACTCTGAGACCTAGGGGGTTGTTTGAAGCATTGCCTTCTTAATCAGAGATGGCTTTGTTGGATGATCAGTCAGTAGAGGGTTACTGCTGACCTTCCTCTGGGCTGGCATCTTCTCCTGGACTTCTTTACTCTCTATTCCGATCTCTACCCACTTCCATCCCCCTCCTGCACCCCTGCCTCTCTACCTCTTAGATTTCCTCTTTTGCTGTATCTCTTTCTGACTTCTCTTTCTTTTCTGTTTCTCTCCTTTCTCCCAATATACCTATTATATCCTGGGGTCTAGGCCCAGAACATGTTGAAGAAGGTGGAAGGCTTGGAGAACCTAACGAATCTCACTACCTTGCATCTTCGAGACAACCATATTGAAACTCTGAGTGGCTTCTCCAAGGAAATGCAATCACTGCAATACCTCAACCTGAGGTATGTAACCCCTCCAGAACCCATGTTGATCCTACCCCTGACCAGGAGCAGTTTTTGACCCTGTGTTCCTCCCTGGCCCCAACCCCCGCATCTTAGCCCACTCCTAGATTCTCACCTCATCCTCCATCCTGATCCTCACCTCTCCTTTCCTCACTTTTTTCTACATTCAGTCCTAATTGCAACACTAAGACCTTTATAGGCTGAGACCCCTGAATCCTTATTCATTCAATCCACAGTTATTGAGAACATGCTATGTGCCAGGCCTTGCGTTGTGTTTCAGGAACACCTAAAGGAATCAGAGATGGTCCCTGTTCTCAAGGGACTCAATCTGGCTTTACATTTCTTGATTCTATCCCTTTTAAGTTTCTACTGCCCTTCTTCATCTCCTGAGCCCCAATTCCCCTTCCCATTTCCTGCCTCTCTTCTCCTGAGCCCCACCTATAAGGAATGGCCCCCTTACTCATATAAGACACAAAATGTGCTCAGATGTGAGGAGAGACGAGTATTTGAAAGAACTTATCTAGATAGGAAAGCACTGGGATCAGGGGTACTTTATTTCAGGAACTCTTGTCTAATGGAGGATTTTATGTGTGTTTCTTTAAGCAAAGATGTAAAGAAATTGCCTCCTTAATCAACAAGGCCAAATCCTCAAGGCTGGCAATGGAAACAGAATTTCCAAGTAGGGAGAGGTAGTTGAGCCTTAAACCCCAATTCCTGCCCTGATTCCTGGAGAAACCTCTTGCTATTTAGGTCTGCCACATTGGTCTGGTAGGGTGGAGGGAGTGCTGTTTTCCTGTTAATGATCTAGACAGAGGTAGTGGACCTTTCTCAGTGGCTGTTCACTGGGGGTGTTTGGAAGTTTAGTGGAGACACATTTTCTTGATGACTGGGAGGTGCCGCTGAGGCCAAAGATGCCAAACCTGTAATGCACAGGACAGTCCAGCACAAAGTGCATGTAGTGCTCCCAGTGAGAAATACTGCTGAGGTTTAGCACCCCCACTGAGATAAGACAGCAAACTTTAAACCCGATTTCATAAAGGCTTGAGGCAAGAACATGAAAACAAACACACAGAACAGTATATACAATGAGGCACATTAGGAGATGAAGCTTGTTCTTCAGGCTGAGAGGCCTCAACCCATCCCTACCTCTAAGTTTCTTCCTGTGGGGAGCATCAACATAGCACCCACCACGTTGAGTTTTTTTCCCCTTCTCCATTGGTCCAGGTCCTATCTTCTAACCTCTGGTTAAGTGTCATTGACACAGAGAAGTCTGTCCCTGCAAGAGAGATTTCCCTCTGCTCCCCAGCTACAAGACAAGGTTGTGACCTAGCTTTGCTGCTCCAAAAGGATAAATATGACACATTACAGAATAGAATATGGCACTAGGGATTTCTTGAAGGGCAGAAGCAGAACAGGAGTAGGCTTGGACAGCACCTCTGGCAATGCTTGGCAGGCCAATCCACAGAGGCAGTGTTTCTAGGGAAACCGGAGCCCATGGGAAATTCCCCCAGAGGTCCCATTCCTGGCGGCTGGCCTCCAGAGCCTATTATTCCCTGGTGAACCCCTCATGACCGCACCGGCAGGGGCAACATGATAACCAACCTGAGGGAGCTCACCAAGCTTCGGGACCTGCCCAAGCTTCGAGCGTTGGTGCTGCTGGACAACCCGTGTACAGATGAGAATGACTACCGCCAGGAGGCCCTGGTGCAGATGGCACACCTGGAACGTCTGGACAAGGACTTCTTCGAGGAGGAGGATCGAGCCGAGGCCCAGGAGATTCGTCAGAGGATGAAGGAGGAGCAGGAGCAGGAGGCTGAGCCGGAGCCTGACTTGGAAGTGGACCAGCCATCCATCTAGCAGCAGTTCTAGTCTTCAGGGATAGTAAGGAAACCGGCAGGGAGAGGAGGGCAAGGGCCTGGCAGATGAGGGGAGAGAGAAGTTGCTATAAAAGTGGGGGGTGGGGGGGATGAGGAAGGGAGAAGACCAAGAGAGAGAAAAAAGGGTGAGGAGTCAAGGGGTGTCAGGGTGAGGAGAAATGACCAGAAGGATCTGGGAGGAGCTGAGAAAGGCTTAGGAGACCAATCAGGAAGCCGGAAGAATAAGTGAAAAGAATTGGGGTGACAGGCAGAGATGTTGGTGAGGGGTGGGCAGGCACACTTGACCTAGAGTGAAGATCAGCTAGAAGGACCAGGTGTGGGGCATGGTGGTGAGGGTGGCAGGGGAGGGAAGTTGGTGGTAATTTATGAGGAATGCAGCTGGGCCTAGGAGAGAAGGCAGAAGGGGAAGAGCCTGCGCTAAAAATCTGTGAAGTTAAAAATAACAGGACACAGGGGTGGGAGGAGAAAGGAGGGCAGGGTGTGGCAGAAAGAGACTGAGGAGATAAGCCCAGGGAAGTGTGGCCGCTGGGCACCTCAGATGGGGGCAGAGGCAGCACTGGGAAGCAGTAAGGCCCAGAGAGTTTACTTCTGTCCTCTTCCTCCAGGGGATCAAAGACACTGGCCCCAAGACCTGAGAAGACTCCTGTAGGGGGCTCGCTGCATATACACCCTCACCCAGAGTCATAGGTTGCCTTCTTTTGCCCGCACCTGGGGATTCATCACAGCCTGCCTCCCGGGCTGTGGGTGGGCACCTGGACAGTAGGGCAGGCGGACCAGGGGCCTGAGCTCTGCCTGGAGCCTAGCAACGAGGGCAGCCATCAGGCAGGTCTGGTGGGAACCAAGCCTGGATGGACCGACGGATGCTGGTAGAGTTGGCTGCAGAAGAGCAGCGGAGGCGGGCTGGGGTGTTAGGAACAGCTCAGTTTTCGAATAAAGAGACATTTTGATACCCCTGTGTCTGACCAGGCTTGGAAGACACCGAGTCTGTTACGGTCTTTCCTGGCTGCGCAGGCCTCAGGACTCGTATTACTCGTTGAGGCTGTGCTTGTTACTTTCCAGGGGGTCGGGACGTGGGCGGGAGCGTGCGTGGCAGCTGGGGTGGCCAGGTTCTGGGTAACCCACAGGCCCTCCCTCATCGTTCTCCCCCACTCCACCCCCATCGGCCCCCCACCCGCACTCCTACGTGAGCCTCCGCCGGCGGCTCCTGACTCATCGGGGGCTCCGGGTCACATGCGCCCGCCCGGCCCTATCGGCGCCGCCCCCCGCCCGCCGCCCGGGAGCCGCAGCCACCGCCACCGCCACTCCCCGCTCTCTGCGCCGCTGCTGCCGCCGCCACTGCCACCGACACGGCCACAGGCTGTCTCCAGCCCCGAGGTGAAGCCCCGACCCGGTCGGTCCCTGCTCTCCTCCGGCCCGTCCCCTAGCCACGGCGCCCCGCTGGCCCGCGGGCATCTCTCCCCCGGGCGCTGCGCACCTGCTCGGTCACCCGCGCCTCCCCGGCACCCTCCTTCCCCGCCTTCCCGAACAGCTCCTCTCGGTTTCTGGCTGTCGCCCCCTCTTCATTTGGGCGCCAGCCTTCTCTGCACCTGTTTCTCCCTCGCTCCCTTCTCCGCCCTGGCCTGCCCCTTGCCCCATGCCCTTCTCCGCCTCGGGTTCTGTCGACGTTAAGTTCGGGGTCTCCCCGCGCTGTGCGTTTTTATCCTGGCACGTCCCTTTGGCTTTACATCTGGGGAAATGTCTTCTCTCGCCCTTCCGCAGCATCCCTGGGCTTCCTCTAGACTCTCCTTTCTCCCACTCCTCCACGTAGCCCCTCTCGGCTGCCCGAGGTTGGAAGGGGAGGAGGGGAGAATTTGTCTAGGGGCGGCAGGAGGACCGGCTCAGCCCTGCCTCCCCCCACTCCCGTCTCTCCTCCTCCCCACTTCCAATTGCTATCCCCAGGGACTGAGGGCCTTTCCCAGGACCCTCTCCCCAGACTTCTTTGCTGTGCATCTCTCGGGAAGAGGAGGGACATACGTGTGCGAGCGAGATTGGGGCCTTGGCGTGGAGGCTTGTGGTAGGGGGCCCCAACTACCCAGATAACCCATCCCCTTCTTGGCTCCAAGAAGAAAGGACAGCCTAGCAGCCATTCCACTCTGAGGAGGTCTGGGGGAACCCCACCAGGAGGCTGCCGAAGCTGCCTCGGGACGAGGGAACCACTGCCGGGCCCCTCCCCTCCTCACTGCGGTGTCCTCCCATCTTTTCGTTGGATCTTACCCAGCCCCCCACTGCAGTGACCTCCCCTTCCTCACTGCATTGACCTTCTCCTCTCCCCAAGGGGGGGATCCCTTCTGTAGCCTGCTCCTCCCCACTCCCCACCCACTGCAGTAACCTCTTTCCCATCCTTCCTCGCCTCTGGTCCCTCCCACTGATCTCAGGCTCCACCCCTCTAAGCCGCTTACCTTCCTCCTTCCTTCCCTTCTACCCAAGGAGATCCCAGCCATGTCGATAGAGAAGATCTGGGCCCGGGAGATCCTGGACTCCCGTGGGAACCCCACGGTGGAGGTGGATCTCTACACTGCCAGAGGTACTGGATGGGCCTGGACCTTCCCACAGCCCCGGTGCTGGGTTTGCTCTGGCCTGTGATGGGAGGATTCCTTGATTCCCAGCAGGGATGGGGTGGTGGGCCAGGCTCTCACAAGCCTGGATTGTGGGGATTGGATCCTGTTGTCCAGGGGAGCCAGGATAGGCAGGTCTCTGTGTTCTAGTTTAGGGTATGACACATGCCCCGCCTCTGAATGTTTGTGTGTGCACCTGTGTATGTGTATATGAATGCATAGCTTCATTTCTCCGGGTTCCTACTGGTGCATGTAGGAACTCAGCTGGGTGAGGAGGCCTCTGTTTGTGCATCTGCCCGTGTGTGTGTGTGTGTGTGTGTGTGTGTGTGTGTGTGTGTGTGTATTA